TGCAAGTTGAAGTTGCAACTTGCACACCCCTTTCATTTCAAAAGGGACCACTGCACTACATGGGGAAGATTTTCTTCCTCCGCAGCAATTGGTGCACTCTTGGCAAACATTTTTTGGAGTGTTAGGACCATTTATCTCATGTCGAAAAAATAACATATCTTGAAATGGTTTATAAAGGGTCTGGACATTCTACACTTAATGTTGAGGTAATTTTTACATCAATTCTTAAAATTCAGCATTTTGAACTCTTTCCCCATCTTTATTTTAGTACTTTCAAGGAGCCAGCAAAGCCTACTATTAGTATTATTGCTATAGCCACTAAAGTCATAAAAATGCATCACTACGATCATTCACGGATATGTGTCAAGTGTTGAAAAATATGTTTTTGTCTTATTAAGAAGCCCAAAGCTCAAAAAGTAAATGTAGTTCTAATTATAGATTCAGCTTTCGCGTTTGTGCGTGGTAATTGTAAGTTGTGGTGATTGTGTGTGGTGATTGTAATTATAGATTCAGTGTGCTTAGTGACCGTGAACCGTTGATGCATCTCATAATAGTAATGAAATGTGTAGAGACTCATATATTGTATCCCACAATTATAGACAGTGTAGTCCAATAAGTAGTAAAATGTCAGATCCATGCAAAAGTATTGTATTGTGGATACAAGTCTAGCGATTTTGAATTTTCAAGTACTGGAAATTCTTACAGGAAAACACCAAAACTGTGAGATTTAGGTAAAGGTCTAGGAGCAATGTATGTATGGGAGCAGCAACAGGGTTTGGCCAATTGTCAGAATGCAGGGGAAAAACCAAAACCCTGACATTTATAGGTCAAGCTGGTCTAGGAGCTTTTATATCCTTGTTCTTCCACCACGTGATGGAGAAAGTCTTGCCCTTCTTTCGCGTTCTTTGCAATTTCTGGTTGCTTTCATTTATCCTAATTTGAGAACTCTGTTTATACATATATAACAAATATTTATATAGATCTTATACTGACTGGGTTCTGCTATGTGTACATTTTACCACCATGTAGAAAGCCCAATAGTACCAAAGAGTAACCAAACCTTTTGTTTCTTCTTCTTTGGGTTGACCTCAAACGTGAACTTACGGTGCGTTTGCCTCATAGTAATTTTGATGCGCCTCTCGCCACTTAATTTCCATTCCATCTCACTCATATTTTGCTTAAACATATTGCTTGTTGATATAAAATTCGACTTTTCCCAGCATATAAAAGGCACAAATACATCCTGCATTAAGGTTTTTTTAAATTCTATTTCTTTATTTCTAGTTTATTATTGAAATCTCTTCCAAACGCGTACACCCTAAATGACAGGACCCGCCCTGAATTTCTCGAAACTCGAGACGAATCCTGTGGAAAATTCCTACATCACACCGATGCCGGGCCCACTAACTCAAAATTTAGCCTCTTTTCCAAATTAAGGGAAAAGAGCACGAGACTTTCTACCGAAATTTCAGCAAAATCTCCCCTATAAATTGAACATTCCCCAAAAAGTTCCAACCTGCATAAAACACATTTAACAATACCAACCGGCAGCATGCACAATATAATCTCATGCAAATCACATAATAGGCCTCCGGCCTTCAGATAGTTCGAAACAGAACCAACAATGTTCTCAAGTCAATTAATACATAACCCATGTAATTAATGACCTCAAACAACTTTACCAATACCACAGAATTCGTTCAACCGGATTCAAATCCAACAATTACCTCAGAATCCAATCACATACACAGAATCGATCAAACCTTTTAAACACAATAATATTTCGCGGCTGCACCTGGTGAGACCCCAGGCTGCCTACGTACCCTTGGACAAGGGATCAAGCCACACGTAGTTCTCATATCAACGGTCACAACTCCGATAAAAGATAATTATTTACAACCGAACCACTATACATTTTAGATCTATCACAATTCTAAATCCGATAAAAACACATTGAAACATTATCACTTCCTTCCCAAGGCATCGCATTAAGAAGACATCCGAAGGGCCTGGACAAACTCCGACGGGCCTGGGCAAAACAAATCTCTGAAGGGCCTGGGCAAACTCCGACGGGCCTGGGCAAAATAAATCAATCTCCGAAGGGCCTGG